GGGGGTTTCCGCTTCCTGCGCCCTGACCCCTGACAGGCAGCTGGTCTCAAAGCTCAGTTCTACCACTTCGGGCTACGATAGCTGGGCCCTGGCTCTTGGCTGACTGTCTGTGAAGTGGGTGTCTGGATGGACACTGGTAACCTCTCTGCATGCGTGGCTTTGCTTTCTTTTTGACTCTGCTCTTCCCTGGCTGCAGGCAGTGGGACTGTCAGCCAAGGGTGATCCCATCACCTGGCTGGCCAATCAGAGAGTCTATACCCCCTGCCACGGTGATTGGTCCTGGAGTGGCCCAATTACAGTCCTTTTTGGGCAACTGGTGTGAACCCTGGGAGAGAGAAGTTCAGAAGTTATTCTGAACTCAAGAGTGTAAGGATGAGGCAAGAAAGGAATCTAGAGAATAAAGTGAGCACAGGAGAAAGTACAGCTGAAGAAATAGGGGAGAGGACAGAGGAAGAAAGGAGGGATCAGAACCCAGGAACCCAGCCCCCTAGTGTGATGACCCCTCCACTTGGGGTGAGAAACCTGACTTACACTGGGGCTTAAGGAATCAGTGGATGGGAAAGAGCATTTTATTAGATGCCTGGCCCAGAGTAGCCCAAGAAAGAATGGTCCCCAATGCCACTGTCTCCCAGTCTGCCTGGAAAGACCGGCAGGGGCAAGTGGTCCTGGTTTCATGTTCAGAGTCTCAAAGAAAGCCTGCCTTTCCACTGAGGGGTCACCCTGGTGCCGCTGAATTATGGCTAGGCATGGAGAGTCCCTTGGGCTGTGGTTAGGGTGCTACTGATGCCTTCTGACACCTGTAGAGGCTGATGGAGGAAGCCAGCCACACTGTGAAAGAGGGGGTGGATGTTCTAGAACTTTCTACAGAGAAGCTGTTTTCACTTGTAGGCTGCCAAGCTGGGGCTGGGCTGCGCTGTCAAGTAGAGAGAGGCCCTCCTCCCAGCTGCTGGAGAGAAGACCAGCCAGAGCTTGGTTCTAAGATGTCTCTGGACCTGCGGGAGTTCTCTCACCTCCTGTAGCCTCAGCCCCTCCAGAAGTGCTCATTTCCGGCACCTGGGAGAAAAATGGAAAAAGCACAGCTCCCTGCTCTCCATCTTTATTTGGTTCTGCAGTTTAAAAATGGAGATATATATTACATAGACTAAAATCTGTACGTAAAAAGCAAGTTTTATTTTTATATGACCCCACGCAACCATCACCCACTCCAGGATCCAGAGCATTTCTGTCACCCTAGAGAAGGAGAGAGTCCCCTTCTGTCCCATCTAGTAAACCCCCCTCCTCAGGGGTAACCATAACTCTGACGTCTATCATCACAGGTTAATTTTACCTGCTCTTAAACATAAAAATGGAATCATACAGTAAACGTTCTTTTTGAGTAGTTTCTTTCATCCAGAATGTTTTTGAGATTCATCCAAGTTTGTGTGTCAGCAATTTGTTCTTTTTCGTTGCTGAGTAGTTTTTCATTGTATATCTAGACAGGGACAGTCCCACGTCGCATTATGATGTGGATACATCCTGAGAAATGCATCATTTGGTAATTTTGTGTTGTGTGAACATCATAGAGTGTATTTACACAATTCTACATTTTGCAGCCTACTACACACCCAGGCTGCATGACCTACTGCTCCTGGGCTGCAAACGTTTGCCACATGTTATTGTACTGACTGCTGTTGGCAATTGTAACACAACGGTAAGTATTCGTGTATCTAAACATACCTAAAAATTTTAAAAGGTACGGTAAAAATATGGTATAAAAGATAAAAATGGTACGCTTGTACAGGGCACTTACCATGAATGGAGCTTGCAGGACTGGAAGCTGCTCTGGTGAGTCAGTGAGTGAGTGGTGAGTGAATGTGAAAGCATAGGATGTTATTGTACACCACTGTAGACTTTATAAACAGTGTGCACTTGGGTGATAGGAAGTTTTCATTCCATTATAATTTCATGGGACCATGATTGTGCAGAGCATGACTGTATTGTATTTGGATTGTGTCTGGATAAACATTTAATAGGTATTTGAGTTGTGTCTGTTTTTAGCTATTACAAATAAAGCTTATGAGTATTTTGACGGATATTTGTACTTACTTCTCCTTGATAAAAACCTAGGGGTAGAATTCCTGGGTGATCTGAGAGGTGAGTGTTTAATTTTGCTAGAAAATCCCAAACATTTGTCCAATGTCACTATATCATTTTGCATTTCTACCAGCAGTGAGAGCTCCATTTGCTCTGTCTACTTGCCGACATTTGGTATGGTCAGTCTCTTTAGACACTTAAGTGGGTGTGTTATAGTATCTTGTTGTGGTTTTAATTTACGTTTCCTTGATAAATAATGGTTTGAGAACATTTTCATCTGCTTATTGGCCATTTAGATATCCTCTTTTGTGAAGCACTTGGTCAGTCAAGGCTTTTGCTTATTAAAAATTTTTTTCTTGCCAGAATAAATTGGGATATCTTTAACTTTTCTAGAGGCAGCAATATGGAAATTACTAGGGGTTATACTTTTATTACTATCAGATTATTTGCATTAAGACCATAAGTTTTCAAATGAGTGGTACAAAAGATAAGAAACAAAATTGTGTTAAAATATCCTTGAGGCAATCAAGTATCAGAAATGACACTAATTTATTCTATTGTGATGAGAAGAAATAAGATATAGTTTAAGCATGATCTGAGATAAGAATTTTAATTCTTTAACCAGGCAAAAGATCAAAATGACATAATATATAATCATATATTATATATTATATGTCATATATCATGATATATTATATGTCATAATATATCATGATATATATTATATGTCATTATAATATATCATGATATATTATATATTACATTATTATATAATTATATATTATATATTATATGCATTATAATATATAATTATATATACATTATTTATCATATAATTATATATTATATAAATTATAACAGAATATAATATAATATATATTATTATATAACAAAATTCCTATTACCTAGTGATTTCATAGCCATCGTAATGTCACAGGACAACATATTACCGAAAAAGGCTGTGGTTGAGACAGCAAACAAAGTGTCCTGAGAAACTGACTAATGAGTTGTTGGAACTGGAACCAGAACCCACAGCTGAAGAAGAGGCAAGAGAAAAGAAACTGCAGGAGAAGAAAAGAAGAAACCCCTGAGAAAATTCACAGTGAAGCATCTGGCAGAAGCTTTTGCTTCTTTTTCTTTAAAAAGTTTTTTTTTTTCTTTAAAAAGTTTGAAAGTGACCTCTGAAGTTTGAAAGTGACCACTGAAAGGTTTTTATTAATAGAGAGGAATGTTCATGTTGCATTATCTGCTTACAAACATATCTATGATGAAAAAAAGAAAGAACCAAGCAAGCTGCTATGGACATATTTCTGAAAAGAGCGACACCTCCTCAAGAAGATCCTCAGTCAGGTCCTTCCGGCCGAGTTCCAGAAAAAGGCATTGCTATCATAGGAGATGACAGCTCCATGCATGTTATTATCCCTGAAGACCTTCCAGTGGGACGAGATGTGGAGGTGGAAGATACTGATACTGATGATCCTGACCCTGTGTAGGCCTATGCTAATGTGTGTTTGTGTCTTAGTTTTCAACAAAAAAGTTTAAAAATTAAGAAGAAAAAAATTTTAAATAGAAAAAAGCTTACAGAATAGGGATATAGAAAAAGACAATATTTTTGTAGAGCTTTACAGTGTGTGTTTGTTTTAAGCTAAGTGTTATTACAAAAGAGTTAAAATGTTAAAAAGAAGTTTAAAGTTTATGAAGTAAAAAAGTTAGAGTAAGCTAAGGCTAACTTATTATTTTTTGAAAAACAATTTTTTTTTAAAATTTAGCATAGCCTAAGTGCACAGTGTAATGTCCCTGTCACTCATGGACTCGCCCAGAGCAACTTCCAGTTCTACAAGCTCCATTGACTGGAAGTGCCCTGTACAAGTGTGCAATGTTTACTTTTTATACTGTATTGTTACTGTACCTTTTCTATGTTAGACATGTCTACATAGACATATATACCTACCATTGTGTTATAACTGCCTACAGTATTCAGTATAGTAGCAGGCTGTACAAAGCCTAGGAGTGACAGGCTAAACCACATAGTCCAGGTGTGTGGTAGGCTATGCCATCCAGGTGTGTGCAAATACACCCTATGATGTTTGCGCAACGATGAAATTGCCTAAGGACACATTTCGCAGAATGTATCCCTGTTGTTAAGCAACACGTGACTGTATATACACACATCTTTTGATTCTGGCTCTCTGGAGAACCCTAAAATACTTGACAAAAATGTCAAGGTAAGCCTGGAGTCCTGCTGGTTGTTCTCCTGTCTGTCATGTTAAAAGTAAAATAAAACTATTAACTGGCTTTCATTTTTAAAAATTTCCAGGCCCCAAATTCTATATCCCCCTGGAATCAGCATTGACTGCAAGAACATCTTCTCTCCGCCGGTCAGGGACACTCTCCCCAGCAGAGTGGCCCTTTCCAAAGCTGAAACTACTTCTGCCTCTACTTACATGGCTTCGCAAAGGCTGGATCCTTGTGGGAATGCATTTCAAAAAGGAAGAATCCATTGATCTAGGGGCAGGCAATCAAGACCCTGGGTATCAGTATGAAGGAGTTCTTCCTATAATCTGGATTTGAGCTTCAGTTAGGTATATGCATAGTAAAGAGTTTCTCCCAGTCTGTGGCTGCCCTTTTCCCTTTATTCATGATGTCTTTTAACAAACATAAATTTTAATTTTGATAAAGCCTCAGTCACCTCTTTACAAATTTTATGCTTATTGCATCTTTGTGTCTTAAAATATCTTTGCCTACCTGAACATCATGAAGACATTCTCCCATGTTCTATTCCAGAAGAACTTTACTATTAGTTTTCAGACTTAGGTTTATGATCCATCTCGAGTTAATATTAGTGTTTGGTGTGAGGTAGGTGGTCAAGATTTTTTTTCTATATGGATATCTAGTTGCTCCAGCAACATGTATTGAAAAGAACTTCCTTTTTCCCATCTAACTGTTTGGCACCTTTATCAAAAATCATTTGACTGTAGGTGTAGCCATTTTTACCCAACAAGTTTTTGGGTAGGTGGCAGCAGACATTTGGTCTGGAGCTATACCACCTGGACAAGAAGGTATCAGCGTCATCCTAAGTCCATCTGTATTTCAGATGAACTTGTCCTCATAGTGCAAAGATTTCTGGTCATTTCCATTTCCCAGTCACCTTTGTGAATTACTACTTGGAAGTTTTATGTTACCACCAAGCCTTGGTTTTGCTGTCAAATACCCAAGGTGCTTGACCCCTCCCTGTCACAGTTCCCTTATTGGTAAAATGGTATAATGGCAATAACTGATGCATGGGGCTGTTGCAAGGTCAATGGGGTCAAAAATGCAATGGGAACACTCGCTGTTGCCTGTTTCCTCCTCACCACTGTCAGCTCCTCCAGAGCAGAGACCATGTTTTATGAATCTCTGCATTTCAGTGCTTGAAAGGATACCTGGCATATGGCAGGTGTTTATTAAATGTATGGAGAATAAACAATATTCTTTTAGATGGTGTAGATGGAACCATTTGTATGGCAGCCTGCTGTTATTTATTCCTATCCAATCCAGGGGACTTGTCTGTCTTTATCTTATTTGACACACTCGACTGCTCCTTCCTGAAGCCCTTTATTCTCTTTGCTTCTAGAACACTACACACTCTTTGCTCTCCTTCTGCTGTACTGAATGTCCTTTCTTAGTCTTCTTGGTCATGCCTGTTGCCTCTGCTCTAAGCACTTTTCTGCCCAGGGGTCATCTCCCACCTCTTTTCTTCTCTATGCCACATTGTCTCTCTTGGTGACCCCTTCTTCTCTCCTGGCTTTAAGTTCTATTTGCTCACTACTAATGCCTGTATCCATCCCGAGCCCACACTCATGTACGCCATGGCCTACCCCACTTAGACTTAACAGGCATTTCACTTCAAAGTTGTCCAAAACAAAGCGCGAGATTTTTCCCACGTGATTTTATTTCACTCTGTCTTGAGTTCTCAAGTTTCTCAAGACGAAATCTTCCGACTCAGTCACGGTTCTTCTCTTTATCCTCACTCCATTTCTCTAGTTCTTTATCAGGTCCAGTTTGACTCTACCTCTAAAACCATTTCTGAATGTGTCAATTTCTTTCATTTTAACGGCTCTACTAAAGTTCAAGTCACCCTCCTCTCTTGACTGGGCTACTGCAGTGGACTCTGGCCTGGTCTCTAAGCTTTCTTTCTTGAGGGATCTGGTCATACCACTCCCTATGCAAAACCCGGTCACAGAGCAAAGTCCAAGCGTGTTACTCCATCCTAAAAAGCCCCATGGCAAGGGCCTCTGCCTGACTCCTTGACTTTGTGGACAAATGGGTTTATCTATGGCGAAATAAGAATGCAACGTTCCTGACATTGTGGAGGCCCAGCCTTCTATCTAGAGTTATATAACATCTTGGAAGGTTCCAAAGGCATTAAGTCAAGTCCAGGTTTGTCAGTTTCTCCAAAAGATGTCAATGAAAACTGCATACGTCTTGCAGTTGAACATCTAAAGTATCAATTACCTGGAAAATACTGATGAGCAAAATCCACTGGTGGCTACAAAGGTGATTATAAAGCAGTAGTGACCTAGTCTTGGGGAGATAGCCCTCTGAGTTAAGGAAAGCTTGTGAGTGTTCTGGCCAGACTGGCCTAGGTTCAAATCCTTGCTGTACCCTGTCCAGGGAATGTTAGCTGCTGAAGCTCTCTGGACTTTATCCATAACAAAGGGTGATTTTGCTCTTTGAAGTTTGATAGAAGATTCTCTGACAGAGTGTCCTTTTCAGCATGGGACAGAAATGCAGTACGTGGTCTCTTTCTCTGTTTCTAGAGATAAAAAGAAACAGGAGCTGATGAGAATTTCTAGGCCTATTGTCCTAGAACACCCAGGCCTATTGGTGTCCTGTCCCTTCTACCCTACCTCAGCATGGTGTGGTTCATTCTGGAAAAGGCTCTGCAGAGGCACAAGATTTTCTGGCAAGAAGCAGATTGCTGCTTTTGATGGCTGTGTCCTGGCAGGACCACCTTAACGACTTGTCCTGGCACATTTAGGGTGTCAAGAACAGCCCCTAAATCTGGGCCCCTTCACAGCTCAGAAGAGCCTGAGCATAATGTAGAAATTATTCTCTAGTGAGAATAAGATCTACAGGGTGAAAAAATAGAAATCTTAAAAGTTAGGAAATAACAAGAACAGAAAAGAAGTATACCTTGTAGATTATTTTTAAATGATCAAATTGAAGACCATGGGATTTTTTTAAAACAAACAACCTAGGAGACAGCGGTTAGTTTTGACATTGATGTAGTTGTAGGGAACTCTAGTTTGTGGTCAGCCCAAGGTACTTTCCATGCACATGAATCACCACATGCACTTAACTTGGGCAGAGCTCAATTTCAGATTCTTTAAACCAAAGTGAAAAGCCCCAAGTTAGGTTAACTGGCAGGCACATACTGTAGACAGCCCAGATCTGGGAATTTAAAAAAAAAGTGTGTGGAAACAAACATATTTTGGTGGTTTTTAACATAATTATTGTCTCTTTCTCACAGTGATTTGCATAATGTTGCAGAGGTGTTGCCTGGCAAGCTCTAGTTAAAGATGTAGCTTTTGTGTGCACCTGTTTGCAGGCTAGAGAGAGAACAGTCATATGCAAGTAAAATCTTGGTACCCTCCATTGCTTGACTTACTTTTTTGAGCAGGCTTATTGCTGTGTAAGTAACCTACAAAAATTCCACATATCTGAAGTGTAGAACATGTTTTTGCATATGTATATGTCCATGAAACCATCATAACAATCAATATAGTAAATATTTCTATCACTCCCAAAAGTTGCTTCACGTACCTTTGTAATTTCCCTCCCAGGTCTCTCTTCCTCACTACTAGTTTGTTTTATATCACCAAAGATTTTCATTTTCTATAGTTTTATTAAAATGGAATAAACAGTATATAGTTTTTTTTGACTGGTTTCTTTTACTCAATATAATTATTTTTGAGATTCATCCATGTTATGATTATCCATTATTATTATTTTCTTTTTTCTCTTTTTTATTGAGTAATAGACAATTGTATGGATATACAACAATTTGTTTATCCATTCATCTGTTGATGAACTTTTTAGTTGTTTCCAGTTTGGGGCTATTTACCAATAAAGGTACCATGAACATTTGTGTGCAAGTCTCTGTATGGATATCTGCTTTCTTTTCTGATAGAATTGAGAGGCTGGGACATGTGGTAGGTGCATGTTTAACTTTTTACAAAACTTTAATCTGTTTTCCAAAGTGGTGGTTTGACTTTGCATTATCGATAGCATTGTATGAGAATTTCATTTCCTCCATATCCTCACCCCATATGGTCAGTCTTCTTAATTTTAGCAATTCTAAAATATATGTAGTGGTATCACATGGTTGTTTTAATTTGAACTTCCCTAATGATGCTGACATCTTTTCATGTGCTTACTGCCATCCATATATCTTCTTTGGGGAAATGTCTGTTGAAATCTTTTCTCTATTTTATTTTTAATGGGGCTATTTTCTTATTATTGAGTTCTAAGAATTCTTCATATATTCTGGGTATAAGTGCATTATAAGATGTATTCTTGGCAAACATCTTCTCCCAATCTGTGGCTTACTTTTTCAATTTCTTCATAGTATCTCTCAAAGAATGAAAATTTTGATAAAGTCTAATTTATCAATTTATTTTTTATGGATTGTGTATTTGGTGCCATACCTAAAAACTCTGCCTAACCCAAAGTCATTAAGATTTCCTTTTATGTTTTCTTCTAAAGGTTTATAGTTTTAGATTTTACATTGAGATCTGCAATCCATTTGAATCACTTCTTTTTATATGATGCACATTTGCATTCAATTTCATTGTTTTTGTCTGTTTCTGCATACAGGAATCTAACTTTTCCAGTACTATTTGTTGAAAAGGCTATCCCTTTCTTCATTGAATTGCTTTTGCACTATTGTCCAAAATCAGTTGTCCATATTTTTGAGTGTGTGTGTCTATTTCTGGACTTTCTATTTGGTTCATTGATCTTTTCTTCTATCTTGCTGCTAGTACTAGAATATTTTGATCACCTGTAGCTTTATAATAAATCTTGAAAGCAGATAGTTTAAGAACTTCAACTTTTCTCTTTCTCAAAGTTATATTGGCTCTTTTGGGTTTTTTTGCACCTCCATATGAATTTCAAATCTGCTTTTCAATTTCTACAAAGAGCCTGCTAGAAATTTGATCAGCACTGCAAAAAAGAGTTCTCATTTTAGCAATACCGAGTCTTCTGACCTTTAAACAAAGTATATCTCTCCGATTATTTAGGTCTTCTTTAATTTATATCAGCAATGTTTTGTAATTTTTAGTGTATAGGTCTTACACATATTTTGTCAGATTTACCCAAGTTTTGTTTTTGTTTTTGTTTTTGAGACAGAGTCTCAGTTTGTTCCCCAGGCTGGAGTGCGGTGGTGTGATCTCGGCTCACTGCAAACTCTGCCTCCTGGGTTCAAGTGATTCTTGTGTCTCAGCCTCTCAAGTAGCTGAGATTATAGGCGCAGGCCATCGTGCCCAGCTAATTTTTTGTATTTTTATTAGAGACGAGGTTTTGCCATGTTGCCCAGGATGGTCTTGAACTGCTGGCCTCAAAGTGATCCACCCACCTCAGTCTTCCAAAGCATTGGGATTACAGGCGCGAGCTGTCACACTTGGCCAGTATTTCATATTTTTGATGCCACTGTAAGAAATTGAATTTTAACATCTGACAGTTCACTACTAGTACATAGAAATACAGTGATATTTTACATTTTTTCTGTGTTCTGACCGGTTGCTGATGTGGTTTGGCTCTGTGTCCCCACACAAATCTCATCTTGTAGCTCCCATAATTCCCACATGGTGTGGGAGGGACCCAGTGGGAGATGATTGAATCATGGGGGTGGGTCTTTCCCATGCTGTTCTCCTGACAGTGAATGGGTGTCACGAGATCTGATGGTTTTAAAAACGGGAGTTTCTCTGCACAAGCTTTCTCTTTGCCTGTTGCCATCCATGTAAGATGGGACTTGCTCCTCCTTGCCTTCTGCCATGATTTTGAGGCCTCCCCAGCCATGTGGAACTATAAGTCCAATAAACCTCTTTCTTTTGTAAATTGTCCAGTCTCAGGTATGTCTTTATCAGCAGCATAAAAACTAACTAATATAGTTGCTAAACTTACTTTTGAATTCTAGTATTTAAAGTGTAACTTCCTGAGGATTTTGTATATACATAATTGTGCCAACTATGAATCTTTCCAGTCTATGCCATTTATTTATTTTTCTTGGTCTGTTTTGCTGGCTGGTATTTCCAGCACTGTTAAATAGAGTGGTGAGCGTAGACACTTTTCCCTGGTTCTTGAATTTAGTGTAAGAAAACTCCATCTTTTATCATGAAATATGATATTAGCTGTAGGTTTTTCATAGCTGCCCTTCAATTGTTCAATTGGTTGAAGAAATGCTCTTCTATTCCTAGTTTTCTAATCGTTTTTAATCAGGAATGGGTGTTGAGTTTTTTCAAACTTTTTTTCTGCATCTATTTAGATGATCATATTGCTTTTATTTGTAGTTAATAGTGATTTACATTGATTGGGTTTTGAATATCAAAACCAATCAACGCATTCCTGGGATAAACCCTTCTTGTTCACCATGTTTTATCCTTTTTACATATTGTTGGATTGGATTTGCTAAATTTCTTTAGAAATGTTGCATTTATGTTCATGAGAGTTAGTTATTCATCTGTAGTTTTCTTTGTTTCACTTTAGAATCAGAGAAATAATAGGTTCATAAAATAATTTGGAATTATTCTCGTCTCTTTAATTTTCAGAAAACGTTTGTAAGGATTGTTATTCCTTCTTCTCTTAATGTTTGGTAGAGTTCACTAGTGAAGCCATGTCAACCTGTAATTTTCTTCATGCATACATTTTAAACTAAACATTCAATTTATTCCATAAATAGAGGATTGTCCAGGTTCTTTATTTCTTTTTGAGTGGGCTCTGGTAGGTTGTGCCTCGCTAGGAATTTATCCATTTTATCTAAGTTAAAAAATTTATAGGCATAAAGCTCATAATACTTCCTTATTATCCTTTTAATATCTGTAGAATCTGAGTGATCTCACCTCTATAATTCCTAATATTGATTAATTTGTGTCTTAAGTAGTTTTTTAAATCAATGTACCTAGAGGTTTTTAAATTTTATTGATCTATTCAAAGAACTAGCTTTTGGTTTTATTGATTTTTTTCTATTGTTTTCTGTCTTCTATTTTATTGATTTTTCATTCTGATCTTTATTATTTTCCTTTTAATGCTTGCTTTGGCTCAATTTGTTCTTCTTTTCTAATTTTTGAAGTGGAAGATGAGGTCATCAGCTTCAGATCTTTTCTTTTTTCTAAAGTAGAAATCCAGTGCTGTATATTTCTTTCTACATATTGCTGAAGTGGCATTCCACTAGTGTTGCTATATTGTGTTCTCATTTGATTATTTTTCAAGATATTTTCTAATTTTCCTTTTGATTTCTTATTTTACCCCTGATTATTGACAAATATGTTACTTTGTTTCCAAACCTTTGGGAATTTTCCAGATAGATTTCTGCTAATGATTTCTATTTTAATTCCAGATTGTTCAGAAAACATACTTTGTTTAACTTGAATCCTTTTAAATTTATTATGCATTGTTTATGGCTCAGAATATAGAATATATCTTGAAAAATGTTTCACGCGCTCTTGTAAACAATGTGTATTCTCCTATTTCTGCATGACATGTTCTATAAATGCCAGGTAGGTACATTTTATTAGTAGTGTTGTTCAAGTCATCTATATCCTTGGTGATCTTTTTGTTTACTCATTCTATCAATTATGGAGAGAGAGGTATTAAAATATCTAATATGTATCTGTATTTGTTAATTTCTCCTTATAGTTTTATCAATTTCTGTTTTATGTACTTTGGAGTTCTGTTATTAGGTGCATAAACCTTTAGGATTATTATGGTCTTGACAAATTGATCCCTTTAACATTTTTAAATGTTCTTCTTTATGCTCGATAATATTCTTTGCTTGAAATCCACTTTTATATTAATATAGCCAATCTAGATTCTTTGTTAGTGTTTACATTGTATCTTTTTCCCATCCTTTTCTTTATCATAGTTATGTCTTTACTTTTTTTTTTTTTTTTTTTTGAGACGGAGTCTCGCTGTATCGCCCAGGCTGGAGTGCAGTGGCCGGATCTTTGGTTGATAAAAAACACATAGTTGGATTAACATTTTAAAAAATCTGATTTGACAAATTGCTTTTACTGGTGTTGTTTAGGCCATTTACATTTAATGTAATTATTGATGTGGTTAGGTTTAATTCCTGTCATCTTACTGTTTTTTCTTCAATTTATCCCATATGTTTTTGCTCTTTTTTCAGATTATTTTTATGATACAACTTTATATCTTTTGTTGTCTTATTTGCTATAACTCTTTGTTATTGTGTTATTTTCATAGTTCTTAGGGTTAACAGAACACATCTTTAACTTATTATAGCCTACCTTCAAATGATATTATACCAGTTCGCATATAGCATAAGAAGCTTACAACAGTATACTTCCATTTCTCCCCTTCTGATCTTTATATTATTGTTGTCATTCATTTTACTTACATATATGTTAATATCATGCTACATTGTTACTACTTTTGTTTAAACAATTCATTATATTTTATGGTCATATCCACTTTTCTTTCTTCCTGAGGTCCTGAAGTCTTTTGTTATTATTTCCTTTCTGTTTTGAGTACGTGTTTTGCAATTCCTTAAGGGCAAGTCTTCTGGTGACATATTCTTCTAGTTTCCTGTCATCTGAAAATGACTTTATTTCTCCTTCGTTTCTAAAGAATAGTTTGACTTCCAGTTTGCAATCCAGTATGTAAGGAGCTTGGAAGTTGTCACTACATCCTAACAACAAATAAAAGCCTGAACAAACTGATTAATTAATAATTCTTCTTAGACCCATCAGAGAAGTGAGGTTCACTGCCCCTTAAATTGGAAAGATTGACAAGAAAATACTTAGAATCACAACTTACTGGAGCAGAAACCCATGAGCAGAAACCTTTGTGGGAACCACTATGGGGTAGAAAAACCTGAACTGTAATTGATGAATTGCTGGGCATTCAGAGTAAACAAGTATGAGAGTTAAACACTCCAGTGGGACCCATTCAAAGGAGGGCCCCAAGTTTTTGGGAGTTCTGGTTTCAGGAGTTCAACTAGGTTCTCACAGTAAATATCAGAAAAAAAAAAATCTTGTGCTTCTGGTGAGGAGAGGGAGGAGCAACTATTTGAAGTAAGTCAGAGCATTATCTTCTAGTCAAAAAGGCCTGGCCTTAAGATAAATTACTTTACCAGAGCCTAAACTATTGGGATTTTATCAGAACCTAACCAACCTGGAAGAAAGGAAATAGCATACTCCAGCATGCCTTAGCCTTCTACATAGGGGAAGAGAAATACTCAACTTCAGTTCATTCTAGACATCTTGTCCCACCTAAGGGGAATGTTGGGGGATTGAGAAGCACTGTTTGAAGTTCACAGTTTAGAGACACAGACTCACTAAAAGACTGAGATATAAAACTGTAGAACACTTTGCTCCTTCCCACACTGTTACAGGATCTTTGGGGTACTGATTTTCTGGCCAGAAGCCTCTGTGGCTGGTGGCATCTTTGCCTTAGTTCTTGTCTTGCATCTAGAAGAATGAGGTATGCAAACAAGTGAAGGGTAAACAAGACAAAGAAGAGCTTTACTAAGTGTTAGAACAGCTCAGAGGAAACCCTCAGTGGGTAGCTCCTCTCTGTCGGCAGATCATCTTCTCTGTAAGCAGATCTTCCCATTGAGTGCTCAGCTCTCAAGCAGAGAGGAGGCCCTGGAGAGGGTAGCACCTCTCTGCTACTGGTCATCATCCTGACATCTGCTGCTCTCACCAGAAGGGAGGCCCTGGAGAAAGATGCTTCTCTCTGAAGCTGGTAGTCCCTATGTCTCTGCAGGTCTCTGAAGCTCTCAGAAGAGAGGGGTAGTTCCTCTCTGCAGTGGGCCATCTGTCCTCCATCTTATGTCCTCTGCCCTGCTCTGACTGAGTCTGGGGCTTTTTTGGACCTCAGAGGGAGGAAGTGCCTGCTGATTGGTTCATGGAGGGCCATGGGCAGTCTGGAAAAGGCACCACAAGTCCCCACTCCATTCTGCTGGGCAGCCTGACCCCAGCCTTCAGGCCCTCCCTTGCCTGAAGGTGGGATCTTACTGACAACCCATCCACTTCCACCCAGGAGCCTGTCTGCCTTCTGCTGTCCCTGGCCCTCTGGCTGTTGGCACCAAGAGGCACCTGCAGGCCAGCACTGAGCAGTCCTCAGAGCTCCCCTCTGCTTCCCCTGCTACTCTCATTGGTACCCAAATTCTGGAGGGGGCTGGGGCAGCAGGGCACCGGCTTGCCAGCACTGATCTGAGTGTGTGCAGACTGTGCCAAACTGTGATAGCACCCGAGCTTGGCTCCAACCCTGCTGTGATATGGGAGCCTGTGCCCGGAGCAGTGAGAGGCCAGGCAGCTGGAGAAGACACCCGTGGGCTTGCGGGTACTGGGGTCGGGGGGCCTTCCTTGGCCCCTAAGGGTGTAGGTTGCAGAGACACCTGGGTCTTGCACCAGGGAAGGTGGTTGCAGCTGCACCCGGAGCTCCCGCCCTGCCAACTCAGAAGGCGTGGAGTTCCTGCTTATCCTTGGCTCCTGCTGGCTTGGTGTAGAAGAGGCCCAGGTCTGCACCTGTGGATCTGGTGGTTGCACCTGCACCAGAAAGGGCAGGGATCCTCCCTGCTCCTGGCACCTGCAGGAGCACAGGGAGGCTCTGATTGGCAGCCACAGCTTGAGCGGCTGCAGCCTTACTCAGGAAGGCAGGATTCCTGCCTGCTTCATGGAGCAGGAGGCCTGGGTCTGCAGCTGCAGCTGCACCCAGGAGGGCGGGGATGCTGCCTGCTTCATCAAGTGGGAGGCCTGGGTCAACAGCCGTGGTTTGGGCGGCTGCATCGGCACCTGGGGAGCTGCTGCCCCAGCTCAGAAGGGTGGATCTCCAGCTTGTCCTGGCTTCCAGGCTCCTAGGAGTGTGGAGCCCCAGCTGTGACTCCCTGCTGCAGCTGGCATGATGGCAGCACTGCTGCCATCAACACCTCACTACCACATTACTAAAGACCTACTTTCTGCAGTTCCTTTTATCCAGTATCTCATATTTGGCTATTAAAAAAAAATTACAAGCCACGCTAAAAAAAAAAAAAAAAAAAAAAAAAAAAAAAAAATAGCTTGAAGACACAGAGCAAGCATCAGAATTAAACTGATATACCAAGAACAGTCTTACTAGATAGAGCATTCAGAATTGACAATTTTTTTTTTATCACTACTTATAAAATGCTGTGCCACTTCTCTCTGGCTCAAGTTTTACAAGTAATGTAGTGTTTCTCCTTAACCTCTCTTAAGACTTCTTCCATCTTTAATTTTCAGAAATTTGAATATGATTTGTCTTGGTATGGATTTCTTTGAATTTATCCTATTTGGGATTTGTTCTACTTTATTCTTTTTGAATCAGTGGGTTTAATATCTTTTGTCAAATTTGGGGAAATTTTAGCCATTATTTATTTGATTATTTTTTTCAGTTGAATAGTTTTTCTCCTTACTTCTAGGACCCTGATGATACAAAAGCTAGATTTTTTGTTATCATCCATAGATCTCTCAAACCATTTTTTTTCTAGCCTGATTTCTCTATATTGTTTACACTGAGTAATTTCTAATTATCTGTCTTTAAGTTTGAGGATTCATTCTTTGTTGTTCCAAACTACTTTTGAGGCTATCTGTTGAGTATTTCAGTTACTGTATTTTTTTAGGTTTATAACTTTTAGCTCATTATTTATTCAATATCTTATATTCCTTTACTTAGATTTTTTATTTTTTATTTTGTTTCAAAAGTGTTTTTAATTGCTCATTTAATAATTTTTTACCCTTGAGCTTAGCCAAAAGGCTAAGAGGCAATCATTTAATAATTTCTGCTAACTTTGTATATATTTGAAACTTCACAATAAAAAGGGAAAACAAATGCAATTTTTCTGATCTGGAGAAGATGCTGACCACTTTCTTCATCTGTAGGAAAAACCAAAACAAGAAGGAAATGAGACTAAATGATTATAGAAGAGAGTATAAACACTTTAACTAAGAAGATATTTCTCCACTAGGAAAACTTCCCACGCAAAGTGTATCCTAGTGTCTGGTCATCTCTCAAATCCAATGTTTGTTAGTTTTAATTGCAAGAGTAACACATAAAAACTAATGATTCATTTTGCACAATAATAGGTATACTGTAATCCCAGTTCTCACACATTGGAGAAAAACAAAATTTAGAAAATGAGATTCCTCTATAGTCACAGCCCTTATATCACCACTCTCAATGGTTTTGTAAACCATTCAGACTTTTTTTGTGTGACTAGAACTGGGATTATATTAGACCTGTTATTCTGCAACTTCTTTTTCTTCTTTTGTGCCTAAATATTCCTCTAAGAGAGTTTGTGAAACAGAATAAACAGCTGTTTAGACAGAAAGCTAAAAACAGTTGAAAACAGCTAAAAGTAGCTTCTTTTCTGTTCAGATTCCAAGATCATGCTAATTTTATCCATATTTTAACATCTGGCATGATCTTTTTAACCTAAGGACATAATTTTACACAATTATTATCCTTTTACCTAAGGACAAAAAAATTACAGTAGTGAAAATAATCCGAAAAGCAAGATCCTGAAGTTCCGAGCTTGCAGTTGGCTGGCCTTCTGTGACTCTGTGGGCAGGTGGCCGCCGGGCTTTGTGTCTGAGGGGCCGCATAGTAGAATGACTCAGCAAAGCAGTGGCCTGGAGAACACAGAAGAGGCTGACTAAGATTATGAGCTTTCAGGGGAGCATTCCTTTTAGCCGGCAAATTTCTCTTTTAAGGTAATGAAAGTGTTTCAGGTTCCTCTTTGTCCATTTGCAAATAAACTGGTGAGTTCACGTCACTCCCAGTGCAAATGAGAGTGTGGTGCACACGTCATGAAGATGAAGTGGTTTCCCCTTAATTTTGCATATTTTCTTGTCTGCTTTTAACTCTAGAAGATATTTGCCTTCACCTGATTTACAGTCAGGTTCGTTTCTTGCATCGTAAATTGACTCTTCTCTGTTGTCCTTCACCAATTATTCATTGTGCTTATTTCACATATGATACCCCCGATTTTGTAGCATTAGCTCTAACAGAATATTAGACAAAACTCAAGGAGAAGAAACTTGTGTGGGGACAGGGGAATAGATGCGTGCCCTTTGTAGAACAGAACTCTGTCTTGGGCTTCTTTTTTTATCCTGTAAGGCTTAACTGTAAGAAGCTCACGGTATCTTCGTACAAGCCTTCTGGTTGATTGACAAATGTTCTCAGCGGGAATTTTTTAAGAAAACGGATCTCAATATTTCTAAGAGCTAGTTGCAGTGACTCATGATGAACAGAGAATTATGATTGGACAGGGTTGGAGCCAATTGAGACCATGTTACTGCACCCCAACGCTTGGCATAAAGCCTTATGCATCCACTTGTTCATCCATCCGTTTTTCAGCTAGCTCTTACTAAATGAAATCCTGATATGTAGCTCTGTGCCACGTGTGTACTCAATATGCCTGTCCCAGTGACTCTTTCAACTCAAGCTTGCTCTCTGAGGTCAAAATCATGAACACATCCCCAGAGCCACACTCTACCTCTCTCCCGCTGGAAGACCAGAATCCGTTTTCCAGTTCCCCCAAGCCCAAGCACTGTGACTGTCATCTGTCCGTGGGAGCCTTTAAGCCACTCTCCTAGCCTCCATCTTATTCCTTGGCCTCCTTCCTCCTCAGCACCTTGGAGCCTCCAGAGTTGATCTTACTTCTTCTCAAGTCTCCCTGGAGTCCTCATGGGCCCTGACGGACTCTTTAGAGATTGCTCATTTTAGAGCCCGAAGGCTTCCCAAAGAGCCCTCTATGAGGTTTCCAAATTTCTCCCAATTAAGATTAGCTTGTCTCTTCTGGCCGGGCACGGTGGCTTATGCCTGTAATTCCAGCACTTTCGGAGGCCGAGGTGGGCAGATCACCTGAGGTCAGGAGTTCAAGACCAGCCTGACCAACATAGTGAAACCCTGTCTCTACTAAAAACACAAAAATTAGCTGAGTATGGTGGCGCATGCCTGTAATCCCAGCTACTCAGGAGGCTGAGGCAGGAGAACCACTTGAACCTGGGAGGCAGAGGTTGCAGTGAACCAAGATGGCACCACTGCACTCAAGCTTGGGTGACAAGAGTGAAACTCTATTTCAAAAAAAAAAAAGATTAACTTGTCTCTTCCATGCTGGGAAGTAAGGGCCCTTTGCTTCCATGCCCAGCTTCCACCCTTGCCCTGTCCAAAATAAAGCAAAGTCCAGTCCCAGCTCGCTCCTCCCTGCTACCTGGGGAGTGTTCTCACTTGCGCCTTACATCTCTACTTGGCATCCTCAAGCCTCAAAAAGAGGTTTGTATTGTACTATCATATTACACTAAATTTGAAAAAGAAAAAGTAACACCCACTCACCCCACACCCAAATACAGCCACACTTATCATTTTGGTGGGTTTGACTGGGCTTCTCTTTCTTGTGAAGGTTGTCATGGTGATATGCACACAACATTGTGCCCTGCTCTTGTCAAAAGCATATCTCCATGTTGCTACATGAACAATAGTCATCATTTACATGCATAACACAACATTAAAACATTTATAATGAACTGTAATTTTAGCACTGCATACACCTATCAAAATGACAATTAACACTCAAGTGATACTTTCCTTCATATTTTGGATTTTTTTTTTTGTAGAGAGGGTTAAGAACCCTCTTGCAATTCTTAACACATCATGATAAATTGCTCTCCATGGGAGACTGTACAAATACATACTGTCAAGAGCAATCTGAGAAGATGGCAGTTTTACCATATCCTTCCCAGCATTGGGAATTGCAATGGAAATGTTAATTTTCGTTAATGTATCAGGGCAAAAGATGGTTCTTCATTGATATTCATTTCAATTTGATTCCTAACACGGTTGTTGAATAGTTTTCCATAGACCAGTTATACCAGCACAGGTATAAGCCAGCTAAGTGCTCTGCTGTCTTTCCCTTTGGTTTCTATACTGTGGAAAGTTATTGTTCATAGAGCTTTTGCGAGCTTGTCACCTGTGCCATTGATGCCAGGCACACCATATTTTGTAGAGCCAGCTGTATTTTTATTCTGAAGTGGCTTCCCCCTTTCTGAAAAGGGACTTGGCAAGAGTTCCGTTCGGTCACAGTGAATTAGACACCAACTTCCCTTGTCAACAGAAGTTGGCCTGTTGGGCTAGACTTGGGTACCAGGTGCTACCTCCTGCTTGGCTGCCCTCTCAGTGACATCATCTATACCTGGAATGCCCAGTGGGTAGGAAAGAATCTGGCCTGCCTGGACTGTGTCTGGTCACAGGTCAGTGGAATTTGAGGAGCGACATAGTGGCAAAGCCCCACAAGGACTGGTGGCCTGACTCAAGAAGGCTCTAAACCATTCATCCCCCTCAATGGCCACACCACCATACCTGGCCCATCAGTGCTGAGAAGGTGAGCCAGGTGGGGACCAGAGTGTCACTCAAGTCAAGCATGATGAGGCGGAAGGAAAGGTCTCGGCGTACAAAATATGCCCTCTGTCCTGAGGCAGAGCCATCCATTTTGTATGCTCAATCAACATATCTGTGGCATTTTTATGCTGTTCAACCACCCTCCTGAGAATGTTCATGGCAAAACAGACCCTCCCCACAGGCCCACCTTCCCTTTCCCTGGCAGCAGCCTCCTTGAACAGCGTCCCAGGGAGGTAGAATAATAAAAATTACAACTTCCCCTATCAGGAGGAAGGCTGCACCCTCCTGCTGACTGCCTTTGCCTGAAAAGTTGCTTGGCCACACTATGGCTTCCTTGGGCTTTTGGGGTTCACTGTGGGGCTGCCTATCTCTCTCTACACCATACACACATTTAAGCTCTTCACGGGGACATCATAAGCTGAGAAGTCTGAGATTTTGCTTTTCTCTCTATCAAAACTTTATTGAATGTCCATCATGTGCTAGACTTTGCAGCAAAGCCAAGTCAGACTTGGCCTGCCCTCTGGGAACTCACAGGCAACAAAGTCCATGATCAACGTAATGTCAGCTAAGAATTTGCTAGCTAGGCACAGAACGCATAGGAAAGATGAGGTCAAGGCAAGTTTCCCAGAAGCCATGAAGCCTGAACTGAATTTGGGGACTCCAGAAAACAGAAGACGTAAAATTGCAAAAGGTCCTGTGTTCTCAAAATGTTGTCTTAAAAGCTCTGAGCTTCCTGAAAGATTTCAGGCAAGCCAGGGGCGGGAGGGCAGGCATGGCTAACTTTGCCTTTAGGACAGATCCCCTTGGCATCCATGTTGGGCATAGATGGGAAGATAGGAAGGCCAGGGGAATGGTCATGCCCCAGCGAAGAAGCGATGAGTGCCTGGGCTCAAGCAGGATCCATGGGGTGTGGGAGGACAGTGTGGTTTTCAGAGGCAGTAAAGAAGAGGGGCTCCCCAGCTTGGATTTGGTGGTGGTGGGAAAGGGAGGATTTAAGATGATAATCCAGTCTCCTGGTTCAAGCAGTGGACACACTTTTGGGGGAAAGAGGACAAGTTCAGTTTTGCAGATGCCGTATTCTGGACATCCAGGAGACATTCGAGTGTGTCCTGAGTGGCGCAAGCCCAGGACAAGAACCCAAGGCTCCAAGGCAACGTGTGGCTAAACCCATGGTTGAGTCTATCACTGAGTGGGACCACCTAGGGCCTGTATAGAAGAGGTGAGTCCCAAGGCCAAAGCTGGGATCCCTGACCTCTAAGATGGTAACAGGAGAGAAGGACAGTACAAAGACGACGAGAAATCCTGGCCAGAGCAGGTGGACAAGAAAAGGGTTTCTGGAAGAAGTGTCTACTGGGTCAAACATTACAGGAAGTTTAAGTAAGAAAAAGACCAGAAGTGTCCACTGGTTGGGACAAAGAAGAGGCAGCGAGTATCAGTAGTTGGTTCAGGAAGATTGGTTGTGAAAGGAAGGTGGGATGAGAGGGGAAAATGTGATCAAAAGAGAGGTTTTGTCAAGATGGGGGACTTTAGCACATGTAAAGCATAGAGAATTGCTTTAAATTGCAGTTTACAGAAATGCAGCAGGCTTTTCTGTCTCGGGGAGTGGCATAGTTTCTTTTGCATCTTTTTAAGCTTGCATGTCTCTGGAAAGTGAGTTTTCTCCATCAACACATGGAAATAGAGGGCAGGACAGAGTAACAGGCTTTGTACAAGAGAACAACAGGAGGATTGAAGGGGAACCAGTGGGAGGGAGGAGGAGTGAGCAGAAAGGAGGTGGAGCTCAAAAGGGAGAGGAGAGGACCTGAGCATGTATGGAAGAAGAGAGGTCATGCGAAGAACTTCTCAGGGCAGCCAGGTATGGCTTGGCAGACTGGGGATGACTAAGATTCCATTTGCAGTTACCTGTTCAGCCAGGTAACATCAACGCCCAGTAACTGTCAGTTATGCCCAATCACTTTTGTGTGAGTAGAGTTTGGAGGTCTTTATTAGGGACAAAGGTTTAGATCAATGTGTGGAAAAAAGAAGAAAATAGTCATAAGAATTAGAATATGAATGAGAAAGAGAATTCTGCTTGAGTCAGTGCAGGGGTAACTGAGTGTCTATTTCCCTTGACGGCGAGGAGGGTCTGTCCATTTCATTGGCTATATCAGGAGGGAGGCTGGCAGGTTTGGGGCTCCAGGTACCTGATTTTTGGTTACAGAGGGAAAAACCCAGGAAAAATAGAAAAGTT